ATGTGCCTAAAGAGATAATACAAGCTTGTAATTAAAAAGTAGAAGTGAGGGTAAAGCTCCACTGTAATTATGGCACTCAGGCCAATACGCTTCTTTGGGGAAGTGACTTAATTTCCTGTTATGTGAGCACTTTTAACACACATATTTGACTTTTCTAGAGCTAACGGGAGACTTTAGGTGTCTCTGGCTGCTTAGTTTGGTTTGTTTTTCTATGGTTTTCTGCTCTTCTCTGTTGTGGTGTTCTGTGTTTTTAACTGTCGTGCTCTTAAGCAAACTTTGACTACTCTTTGGGTGGGACCAATAAAATGTCATCTCATTTCCTGTTGCGTTTTTACACCAGCTCATTTCGGTTTCAATTTGGCTTCCTCGCACGGGGCGAAACACGACCTCTGTCGTGAGCCAGACGGGGGCAACCCACCTCACCCCCCCCCCAACCCTGACATGGAGAGTCCTGGTCCAGGCCCGGATCCGGTTGCTGGACCTGAGAAGGGAGATCCTTTGCTTTGGCAGGCTGAGGCAGAGTGGTGGATTTGGGCCTGAGCCAAAGCTGGCTCCCCATTGATACACACCCCCAAACCCCCCCCCCCCCCAACCCCTATCCATGCCCCCCCCCAAGTGTGAGTTAAATCCGCATACTTTACTTTGCTGTTTTCTTTCCTTCCATCCCCCCCTCCGCAGCCCCTTCCTCTGCCTGTGCACATGGCGTTCGGTGGTCATCGGCCCCTCCGCGCTTATCTGTGCATGCCTCTGTCGGACTTAATCTTCGGTAATGTGAAGCTGCTAAATTTACAGCGTTAAAGCTTTCAGTAGCCCGTCTCTGTTTTGTACCAGACTCTGCCGGGAGAAAGCAGAGCTGGGAGTGAAATCTGTAGCGATCCAGTCAGAAGACAAAACTCCCCATGGTTAAATTTAATGCAGCTGGGGGGGGATTGGGGGGGGGGGGGGGGGGGGGGCTTGGCTGTAGTAATGGTTGTTGAGTAATACTCCAAATTCAACTGGTCTTTTTCATTTTTACGTGAATTATGACGACCCCTTATGAGAAACCCATCTCGTCATTTTTACTGAAGAAAAACAGAAAGGAGAAGATGTCAATTCAGAGACATCCAGTAAGTGCTGGCTTCATGCTCGGGCTTGTTCCTGCTCGGCCCAAAATAACCCAAACTAGGTCAATTTTAAGAGCGGATTCCTTCCACCACTTTTCCGTTAATAGTGTTTTTACTACGGGCTCTTAACCTGATGTTCCACTTATTTTGTTCCACAGACCAACGTGGGATGGGAAGCCATCATTGGAAAGTGTGAACAAAAGAGCTGGCAGCCGCTCACCTGGTGTCTATTACTGGCTCGCTTCAGCCTATCAGATCAATGGAGTAAAGCCGGAGGGTGAAATCCTTTTAAAAAAAAAAAACAGGGTGGACACAGCCGCCTCCATTCTGCCATCTGGTCTGTGGGAAGCAGAGTTGTAGTTATTCAGGCTAGTTTTAAGGCTGAGCCTTCACAGAACCAGGACCAGGAGCAAACCCCATTATAGTCACTCTGTCACACGTTCGTTAGTTGGTTGCTTAACGTTTTCTGCTTTGGGTCGGCCGGTGGTCACTTTTATTTCAGGAACAACTCGATCGTTTTTTCTTGTGGTTTCATCCGACTGTTTCCTGCTATGATCATCACATATGAGTGTCCCTCTATCTGCTTAATAATGCGACCTCCATCCCTGTTTTTGCGTTGTGTCAGAGCAATTTTCATTATTTATATATAATATGTATTATTTATTTATTATATTATTTATTATTTATTTCTATAGCTCCACATCACAACAGCAGGTATCTCCCAGCTTTCCAAACAGAGCAGATCAGAACGGACTCTGAAGTTATTTCCAGAAGAACAACAATTCCCACCAAGAACAAGCACTGGGCGACACAGGGAAGGAAAAACTTAATTTAGGAGGCAGAAACCTGGAGCAGAACCATGGATATGGGTGGGGATGAGAGAGAGAGAGGGCAAGAGAAAGAGAGAGAGAGAGAGAGAGAGAGACTACACAGTAACACATAGAGCAGGAATAACATGGCTGGACAGCTTTGTCTGGCAACTCGAATAAAAACTTAAAGACTGATAAAGAAAAGGCTCTGTGCTGGTGACTGTGATTAAGCCTTCAGAGTAGCACAATATGCCTCATATAACAGAAGAGGCTACACACACTGCACAACATAGTGATTAAACAAGTGAGTGTTTTCAGTCAGAGGCTGCCTCAGCTTTATTATAATGAAGAATATAGACTAGTTATTTATTAACTGTCCCTGCATTGGTGTAATTTACCTGTAAGGGCTATAAAATATCATTTAATCTAACTCATTTCGATTATTCATTTCAAATATCTTCGTTTTTAGAACCTTCCATTTGAGATGCTAAAAAACAGCCCAATTCGATATCAGAAACTCAGAGTAGGAACATTTTCTTTTGGACTTGACCAGTGATGCACAGATGGAGAGAATCCAAGTCGAGAAGAGACATTACAGTCACATCTATTAGTACACAAACAAGTTTTTGTAACATCCATAAAAACAAAACAAGTAAAAGAAGAAGAACCACAGATTTAAATGGACAACTAACTTAATCTGACGCTTTAAACAGCAGATAACAAAGGGGAAGTAATCATCTTTCACCTGTATTCATCCAGAACAGGGCAAAGCCCCCATGAGGGAAATAAAAGATTAATGGACTCAATAAAAGCTGGGAAATCCCACACACAGCCCCCAGAGGCTCAGAATAGCTATCTAATTTCCTGGTCAGAGACACAGTTGACCTTCTTCTTTGCCCGTTCTCCGACTGGTCAGAGCTCATTTAGCAGCATTGGTCACATGCAGTCTTTCCTTATGATTTTGATTTTATTTACAAAAATACCCATGAGCAGTGGCTGGAAGCTGTTCGTTCGACAAAGACGGCCCTGTACAAATAAAAGGTTCTCAGGGTCAGTGTTTCCATTTTTCCATTTTTAAATGTAACCAATCACCAATTTGTTGTCAATCATAGCTTTTAGAAACAAAATCTGAGTCGGCCAACCTCAGAATTAGGAGACCCACTCAGAAAATGAGAATAGGTTGAAGAAATTGTGATGAACTAAAAGGGGACTTCCTTAGAATTGTGCTCTGATAGGTTTTCTGTTTTGACAGGTAACAGTCGTTGCCATTATTTATTGGATTTTTTTATTATTTCATAGGAGACTATTCAGTTGTTGGATTCCAACCATGATCTGACGTATATTTTCTCTCATCCAGAAGCTGGATTTTTCTTAAACTTATGAGATCCTGACAGTCACAGTAGTGGTGGTGATTCTTTTAGACTCCAAACTTTCCATTGAACTACAATCCTGTCCTGGCAGGCATGGGCTGCTTTTTGGGGTTTAAAGAATCCCCAACCTTTGGGCCAACCATTACATTTCCTTCCAATTGGACACAAAGTGGATCATGAACTTTTAATCACCACTTCTGTCTTCTTTCGCATTTTCTTCCTGACAAACCTGATGGAAAAACATACAGAGAGATCAGAGAAAAACAACAGGCAGGAGACGAGGATGTCTTTTCTTAAATGAAAAGCATTTAACAACAAGCATTTTAAGTTAAACGTCAAAAACTCTGAACCACTCCAACACACCAGGGGCTCTGAAATAAAAATAATAATATTTTTTTACGAGAAACAACAGGCAAGAGACAAGGTATTGTTTGGTTAAATGACAAGCATTTAACAACAAGTATTTTAAGCTAAACATGAAAAATTCTGAACAACTCCAACACACCAAGGGCTCTGAAACAAAGAAGTCATCCTTTTTTTGTGCGAATTAGATAGTTTTCAAACACACGATTTGCCCCGGTTCTGCTCTCCATTGTGCAACAGTTCATCACAGTTCCTCTTACCTACAGATAACTAACGAACCAACTAATCGATCCCACAGAAACAAACACCACGGAAAGCTCCAAGGTGATGTACTTCAACATCTCTGAGATCCGGCGGAGCGTGGGCGACCACCGGCTGCTGACCAGCGCGGAGCTGCGGATGCTGATCCGGAGCACCACCATCCCCACCGAGCAGCGCGTGGAGCTGTACTACGGCGGGGGCGCCGGCGCCCGCTACCACGCCTCCCGCTTCGTCACCAACGAGCTGAAGGACAAGTGGCTGTCCTTCGACGTGACCGAGCCCCTGAGGGGCTGGCTGCAACACTCAGGTGAGCCCCGCTAGCCCGGTTAGCCTGAGAATAAACCAGGG